GATGCTAATGTCCCTTGGACACATTTAATAGCCTTAGTGCATAAGGCTTGCTCGATTTCGTAAGTGTGACATTTCTTCAATCATAGTATCTGTGTGGCCAATTTATTTCACGGATTTTGCTTCAACGATGCTATCACCAAAGCTGTTCCGTTATCACAAAGATAACAGTACCTTGCTTTACTTGCATCCTCTCTCGAGTTTCTGCAAATGGTCAATTTCTCTTAGAGAAGTATTTTCTGATCTTGCCAAATCATGCGGACACCCCGCTTCCTTTCTCGACGGAGTCACTGTAGATCCGACTTCAAGGCAAACGTGAAGACAACCGTAACCATGTGTAGCTCTTTGCAACAAAAGTCATTTTGTCGTATATACTTTGTTACCAATGTACTTTCAAGCGAATCAAGTCTGGCTACTAACGTGACTTAGTACAGAAGAATGACGACAAGACAAATTTCTGCCAAGTCATTCATCGCGTTTCCCATGTCCTCACCATCAAATGACACAAAAGAAGGCACTGTCTGTTTGCTTCAAATATCGTTTGTGTCATCGGTTGTGACACTGTAGGGATTCTAGTACATTTCACAGGACACACAGTCATTACAAAGGGACAGATCATTTTATACCGCTAATAAATAAAATAGCAATCAGCCAATTAGACGCCAGGAGTAGCTGGTTCTTTTCCGGCCGTCTAAGCCCATGGGCCAATGTCTAGAATGACGACTGTTTGATTTTGACCATGTACAGGAGGTATGTTAAAGCGCATACTACTACTGTGCAAAAAATACATGCTTCCTCATACCACTTTACCAACCAGATCGTGTTTCGCATCAAGACTGCTGCCAGTATCGAGACTGTCACGAATCTGCCAAGCACTGCTGTATCAGACGTTTGGTCCGTCTCATCCATGAGTCACCATCCTTATTCGGAAAGCAGACCATGTGATGAATCAATACGGATGGTTGCCTCTAATCCTTCTGTCCGAGGTTCTAGACTGAGTGTCTTACTATAAGCAGAAGTGCTTTCAGAAGGGCACTCGCAAAAAGATATTCGCAAACCACAGTTACACGCGTTTCGTTATTTAAACAGTCTCTTGGCCATGACAAGGGTTTTGGGGCAACAGTAGAGACCCAGAAATGAGTACTCTTAGGATTTTACTAACTCAGGTCCTATTTCATGCAATAACCACGGAACCAGAAATAGCCCATCAGGCAGGAAGGGAAAAACTAAAATTCAGTACTTGCCAGGGTCAGTTCAATAATTTAAGAAAGATCCCTAGAAAATATATACTTCTTGGAGACCAATAGTCCCTGTCGTTATATGAGGTGATGTCAGGAGGTGGTGCGCGTTTTATTCCTCTTCTTGAATTAAACCCTGAAAAAATAAACGTTACGACGACGAAGATGTCAGAGATGAAGTTAACTTAATATTGACATTTCGTTTTCATCATATGCAAAATTTATTCGTCCGCTGGCTTTTAGTCCTTTCTTAAAATGATACTCTGTGCAACATACAATAACGCTAGGAACAGACGAATTTTTGTAGAAATGTACATCTCCCTCTTAACCCAAATATCGGATAGGTTAAGAAGAGACTGAGAGCAATGGCGATTTTCCCATTTAACTTTGATTTGCTTGTGCCGTCGTTGCGCATAGTATAGGATAATTATGTGATCTAGGTAGATATAGTGAACCTAATCGTATATCCGTTTACATCACACCATACACGACATATCGCTACTAAAGTACAGTAGTATGACTGCACATAGTAATGATATTATAATAGAGACAGTATGACAAAACGTATTCCATAACGTGATACAGTCAGGCAAAACGAAGCTCTCGGTATATCAATGCATATCAGATTCAATTTTTTCACTTGATGCTTTGCAGTCATGAACCATGGGAATTTTTCGGCTGGTCTTTCGATTTTTCCGGAAAGAAACTCGCTAGGTGGAAAGATATTGACATATGATAGATGGGAAAGTTATTTAGCTTTGAGACACGCCGATCTGACTGAATTTTAGTCAGAAAAGATTTTACTTATTAGCACATATGAGCTGCGCTGAAGCTACCACCGGTAATATCGAAATTAATTCCGGGAAACTTGAATTATAGCCGAGTGTTCGGGTACCATGGTATTTCGAGAAAATGAGCATCGCCGAGTTCCACAACCGTTTACATGCCACAGAAGCAAGAAACTTTTGCGTGTTCCAATATACGGAGACGCCTATGCGATAATGGGAATGAAGGTAGCACAGCCTTTACGTCAAAAGGGAGGGAACGGCTATGCCGGAGGTAAAAAAGAATGAAGACAGCAAACTGTTAGATTATTACACCGCACACGAATAAGACAACGTGGTCTCCGTCCGCTCTCACCAGCTCTGACAAGTTGCAAAGTCAGATTCATGGTTTTTAACTTTGAATATACAGTATAAGCATGCACAAATCTCAACTTCATATCGTCATTAGCATTACGCGCAAAACACATTTATAGAAAACGAAATACTTGTCGAAGGCAGGTTGTCAATATCATTGCTAAACGAATCGAAACCATCAGAAGAACCACGATTTCCTCCTCTTCTTGCTCTTGATCCTAAAATAGTAAAGTTTCCGTTAGTTTTTGTCATGTGATGAAAAAGGACGCTTCTTCATTAGAAGTGCTATGGTTAAACAAATACCTTTAACCTTCATCGAAACAGCAGACTAGTAAATATATTGAACATTTGCGTTAGTCGAATAAAGCTTTTGGGCCCAGTAATCACAAGCAACTGTTCAAATAGAAAAATATAAAGGAGGCAGCACATCTGTTACTTAGGAAAACTTTCAAATCAGCTGAATTAATTAATTCATTGATCAATAAAATGGCAAACATGCTGCTCACTACTTTACTTCTGTTCACCGAAGGCAGCTGGTCGTTCATGCAGTTGATCAGTCAGCGTCTTACAGTGCTCACCAAACATGCGTATCTGGCGTTCTCTTACCGTCTTTGACGCGCGCCCGTTCAGGCCAGCATTCACCTGCATTGTCAGAGACCCAGATCACCGTCGAAGTAACGAACACTTCTGATGCATCTCAGATGATTCAGCTATTTCGCAACTTTTTCGTCGCATGTTTTTCTTCTAAGTATTTTCATTTGCTCAATTTCACAGCCTTGTTAAGTTTCATCGTGTGGAGTTGAGTAGGTCATGTCAGAACAACCGTGCCTCGGGTCTTTCTTACTGTAGCAAACTCAAAGACACCGTTGGTTCGCGTTTCAGTCAACAATCCTGGCTCTGCGATGCTGATTAACTATTAGTCCCTTAGGTGCAACAGGAGAAATGATTCCACTTGCATATGATTCACTTAGCAAAATGAACGTGGGAATATCATGGGTCATTCAAAATACTGTGGTACTCAAG